TTCATTTCAGCTCTCTAAAGTAACAGATCTAAAGGCCATATCAAGGCATCTAAAAAATCTATTATTTGGCAGATGGATTGGAACGTTCAAAAGACGTCCTCCAGGAATTCTCGCCCTAACCTCAGTCTCTGTTTCTTCTCTTTAAATGCACTCTAAACCCTTCTTTTGCTCCAATACATTGCCATCAGCTTGCAGCAACTAAGTCATCTTTTTTTTATTTAAAGCCAATGAAGGAAAATATTTGGTAATCTATTTTGTATTTCCTCTAGGTTTACATGCACCTGAGAAAGAAGTTCCCATAAATTTTCCATTTTGTTCTCACCAGCATTCTGACCACAGGATGTTGGAGGGCCTCCTGAAAAATCACGAAACCAAAAAGGAATGTCTAAGCAAGGATATGAGTGTTATACTACTGGAACAGCAAGAAATTGTGTTCCCTGTACCAGCCAAAAATTTTCAACTAGATAAGCTGGTAAAGATCAGTAAAAGCCCCATCTAGGCTAATCAGCCTACAAACCTAAAGGTGGTGCTCCAAACTCTTGATAAATCAAACTAAAGAATAAAACATTGTGGATAACTCTTGCATGCATTTCTCCAAACATAAGAATGAGGATAGAGTAACTATACACAGAATTACTTTTCTGAAAATTTTAAACTTACCATATTTCTGCTTTTTGCAATGACATGTAAACAAGAATTGTCCCTCCATTTGAAATATTTGTTTTCTGTCTGTTCATATCCTCCTGGCATCATGATTTTTGGGGGCCGTCCTCCTTCATCAGCATCCAAAATATGATAATAAAAATGATAGTCCAAAGGATCATCTGTGATTGTACGCCAAGCACCCTCAATTACCTCCTTCTCTTTTTCATTTTCATAGCTATCCTTGCGTTTTGGAAGGTGTGGCCAGTGGGGATTCATCATCTGGTCTAGTACAGCTACTACTGTCTCCTGTGGTAATCACATACAAATGGCAACTATAGATTCCCTTAAATGCAGTAACACAATACATTTTCAAAATGTACAATAATACAACTGTTACAATGTTGTCTTCCTCAATGATCTGCATGGCTTATATAGAGTACATGCTAAATTGTGTTTAAGATTTGACGTAAATCAATGAGTATTTTTTATGTGATCCAGTCATGCATCTTGCAGTTGATAAATACAACTATTAAATGCTCACCTTCATTTTAGGATTCTCAATAATGGATTTGAAACTGAAGAAAGATGGCTGAGGATTTCTTACATTAACTTCAGGTCTCCAATAAAATAATCCCTGGACTCTATTAACAGCAAAAATAACAACTGAATGAAAAGTGTAGTCTGCTTAACTAATTTTAACTGATGGAAGACAACAATTATATAGGAGTGAGTTACTTTTTTCAAGCATTAGCCCGTTATCCCGGCGAATGGAGAAATTACACACACACAACCCACAATTCCTTCATTAGCTCTGATGGGTTAAGGGCTTTGGCTTGAAAACATCAGCTTTGAAACTCTTTCTGATGGCCAGTTTACATTATCAACTTATTTGATACAACCAAATTATCTTGTTCTACTCTCCAACCAATGCAGTATCACAGTTTTTTTACAAACTTACCCCCTTAAATGATTAAAGTTAGTTAGACTTCTATGTTTCATCAATTATTGTACCTTTCATGCCACATAACCCTAACCAAGTATGCAGCCACTTCATCATTTTCTGCTTCTAAAGCCAACTCAACTGGTAGCATGGATCTTTTTTCCTTAGTTTGTTCTGTCTTTAAAATTAAAAGCCCTGGACATTTCTTTGCAAGAGTTTTGGTGACATATAAGTACCCCAGTTCTGCAGCGTAGTGGAGCAATGTTCTCCTGGTGTTGTCTTCTTCATCTCTGAATGTCTGGTATTCATTGCTGGAGTTCAGCTCACTCTCTAACATAATCTCCAAGAGTCGATTTGTCTGCAAGAATCATTTCAGCATTCAACATGTTAGTAATTACCCTGGTATACTGTAATTTGCTGGTACAAATTGTCTGCCTGATTTACGTTAAAAAATATGTTAATTGTCCATTGATCTACACATAGCTTAAAACATACCTTTTGTTCAAGGCCTGGAAGTTTACCAAAGTTATCTTGGTATTTTTTAGACTGTGGCCATTGTTTAAACATCAAAAGTACAGGATCTTTATCCTCCAGTTCCCCACTTTCCTTGAAATTCTGGATCATTGTTTCGACAGTAACTACATCCATGGCTCTGCTCCATGACAATCCATTCCTCTGTTTTGAAGCAACCTGAAGACAAAACATGTCCTTACTAAAATTTGAGGCTCACCTGTGCATACTACCATAGTCATACAAGTAGTATGAAATAACAAGCAGACTTGTGAGATGTATGCGATCCTCACAGCTATGAAAACTACTGAACTAGAAGTTAAAATGAGACCTGAAAAAAATTCAGGCCCTCATGGGATTTGAACCCATGACCTCTGTGATACTGGTACTGTACTCTACCAACTGAGCTAACAAGCCAACTAGGAGCTGATTACAATGTTGGATCCAAATAAACCTTCCAAGCAGACATGTATTGCTTGATAATTACATCAACATCTTACATGTAAGTTACATCAAATACAGACATTTAATAAATTACAAGCATAGTATTATCTTTTACACCTTTCCAACTCATATACTGCAGTTTTATCAAAATTACCCTCATTATATGACATTTTGAATATTTTGAAAAATTTACAAGCACTAGCGTTGTTCAAAAATAAATACAGTAACAAAAGAACATCAAGACTGTGCATTCGTATCCCACTTGCCTGAATTTAATTTTAGAAAACAGAACCCATGAAACTTAGGGCCTAATTACACTGATTCCGGGAGAGCCCGGGAAACCAGGCCAGCCCATCTAATGTAATCAGGCCCTTTGAAGCAAAATCAACTATTTCCATTTTGATTTCTTTAGCTTTGTTGGACACAAGCAGACGTGTTTTCGTACTAATACGGGTAATCGATGTGGGCTAGATGGCTCGCTCACAAGGCCAAATCTTCATACCCCTTATTTCGGGCTCATAGAATGGCGATAAAAATTCATTTTCCTCGATATTTTGAACGAAGTGTAATTCATTGTCATTGAATTCATTTGCCAATTTTCTTCATTCTAGCGACAAAAACTTGTTCAGTCTCTACAAAACTTCAACGTTGGCGAAGCTTCGGCTAATGAATCCGCGATCAAGACTGGCAAAGGTTATTGTCAAACACTTAAGTCAGCTTACTTTAAGCCAGAACTCTCCATCATATTCATCTTCCAAGACACTCTCTTGGTGAATATCAAACTGAGGTTCCAGTTTGTTGTTATTGTATTTTCCGTTGTGCTCCAACAACTCCTGCTCTCTTTTTTCCATTTCTGAACCATATATCACCAGCTTCATCTACTTTCTGCGTATGCACCTTCTTCCTTAATTATTTTTACTTGAGGTTCTCGTGTTCCCTAGCAATCCTGGCCAAGGAGGATGACTTTATTCCCAAGTCATCTAATAAGGCAATTAGTTAACTAGGTTTAGGAGATCAGTCGCGGGCATTGTTAGCACTGCAGTCCTCTTGGCCAGCGCCCAGAGAGATCCCTCGTGGGCCGCCAGGATTCATATAACAACCCAACATGAGTCCTCTGACGGAATAACAATACGGAGGCTTCCTCAATTACGTTTATCTATTTTGCTATCAGTTACACTAATCTGAGCAACGAGTAAGGAATTAACCAAAGGATTAAAGAGCTTTAAAGTAGATTTCAGTGACATTTCCTCAGCGCAAATCAGGGATATCATCCACGTGGCCCTCGCAGTCAGCGATATCAGATGGGATAGAGAAACTCAAGTAGATAGTTACTTTCCTTAACCAATGACAAAGCAAAATGAGGCAAAACCAATGCGATCCCGGATTAATCTCGACGCTTAATCGAAAATTACTCTAAATTCAACGTGGGAAAACTATGCCTGACGATTGAAAAATAATAATTTAATGATTTTCATCTGGTACCGGTTGATTAAATTGTCTTGAAGTACTCATCAAAATGCAAACTAATTTAATCGCTCTAGGTGCCCAACATAAATATTTATTTGGTCTAAAAATCAATTAGCATTACACATAGCCTGGTGCCATTGAAATTTCTCATGGGAACCCAATAAATGTGAGCTCCATGACAAATTGTTACTGACATTTGTCGACCAATTCCAATCGACTGAATAGTGAAGCTGAGAGTGACATAAGTACAAAAACAGGCCTATGTTTCCCTGGAATGAAACAATACAGTGTCCAATCTTATCTTAAAGAGAATGGTTAAAAAGCTCTACCGCGCCCAAATTGATCATATCAGAATAAGTCTCCAACTACAAATGCGTTCTTTCATTGAAGTACAAATTTGGTAGCGTCAAACTTTACAAACCATAGAATCAGGGGACTGCGAAAATACAAGAGTAGTATTACCGACTGCCAACTATGGGTTCTAATTAAACACATTCCATCTTGCTCTGATTGTGCATAGCATGTTAAAGCGCGCTTTTGCAATTATGTCAAAGATGATTCGTGCAGAGTGTCATTTCGTCACAGTTCCAAACACCTAAGGGTACAACGATATGATTCTCCGCGCTTGTTTTTTGTAAATATATTTGTATAGATATGCACACTCAGAAGTGCAACACAATTTTCCAAAGCCGAATTCTTTCTCCTTAGCGTGCAACACTTGACATTTTCACACATCTGTGGATAGTATATATTTCATCTTTCCGTGGATGAATGCCTTCGAGCTTCTTTCAATATTGACGGATTTGAGCTAGTCTGCTCGTCACATATCATTCAGCATCACCAACAAGCATCCGTGGACGGTGTTCTTCGACTCACTTATACCCCGCAGACGAATTCGAGTAGTCAAAAATGAAATACGTTATGTTCCTGTATACTGAAAGCGACAAGATAAAAGCCAGGAAACTAAAAGATTATTTGCAGGTTAGGCTTCGAAACTTAACAGATTTAAGGGCTATCACCGAAATTTCAGCAGAGAAAGGGGATTTCAAGAGTGAACTTCAATGCCGAGGGGACTGCATCGTTTTGGTCGGATCACGCCATGCTTCGTCCCTCATCAGAGGAAGACAGCAAGAGGCGGACGACGATTTCCTTACTTTTGACGGGAAGGTTATACACGAGATGTTCACAGGTAACAAAGAATTTATTGACAAACTGATAATTGTATACTTGACGACGGAAAGAGCCGATGATGATTGGATCCCGGATGGTCTTGATGAAAAGAGAATTTTTAATTTGCAAGGAGAAAAAATTGTTGAAAGTCCTTTGCTGTACCAGCTTGAGTATTCCATGAGAAAAATATTGCTTGGAGATTCCTTTATGATGTAGAAAATGTACCGTTTCATAAGTTACGAGCAAGTTTAAAAACGTTGAACGATAACTTTGAGTTCCAGTGATTGACCCGTACATCAAAATTTCTGGGCTGCATATCGTAAATTAGATATTTAATTGTCATGTATCTAAAAGATAGAAAACTAGATATTATTATTTTCGACATTTTATTAATATGTAACTATGTAAATATGAATTATAAGAGGTGTGTAAATTGTCCTATTGGGTGGAACGGAATGCCAACCGATGTGATCTAGATATTATTATTTTCGACAGTTTATCAAAACGTAACTATGTAAAGATGAATTATAAGAGGTGTGTAAATTGTCCTATTGGGTGGAACGGAATGTCAACCGATGCGATCTACATTCAAACTACGGACAACACTTTGGATTTTGATATTAATATTAGTGCGAGTGGATAAGAAATACAATTGAGAAACGGAAATCGTTGATCAACATTACATGTGTGCCATCAATTTACTATTTTAAAAGTACTGTTTTATTTACAAAGTTTTTGTCAAAGTAATATGTCACTTTCCTTCACTTGATTGCTGAAACACGTGGACCAGAAGACGATAGTTAGTGACGTAGCCATGGAATATTTCCTACGAGGGCTCAATGAGACCTTTACCACGCTCGAGTATCATACCGCCTTGCATTTATTATTCGTTTCCGGTATCTCCTCTTGAATTCAGCTGCTTTAGTCGGCCGGTTTTCCTACGGGCTTAGGTTATTTTTTACTGCAATCAACCGTCTGTCACACCCATTTTCGGTTTTTTTTTCCTTCAACTTTCAGCCACACACTTTGTTCTTAATGCTTGTTTTGTAACATAACAGCCTGATTGCAGCTTTGCAAGTAATCTATTGAAATACTTATTATAACCATCGCTATCTTTTCCCCTCAAAGGCAGTTAACGTTCAACATTGTCGTATAAAAACAACTGATTACAAAGGCCGAATAAAGTGGCTTGGTATCTCTCTCTATCAATGTAATGCACACAGACACCCTTTTTATTCTTGTCCAGGCTTACTGTTTGACCATCTTTCTCATCCTCTCCCTGGAAAAAGAAACATGGTTGGAAAACTGAACAGAAATATGTTTACCTGAATGTCAAAAAATGTACAGCAGTCTCCAGAATTCGTTGCTCTTGCTAAAGTTTGCAAATTGATGGGCACACAATCGTCGCGCCATCATTTAAACCAACTTTACCAGATTCCAGACTGAAACCAATCGTGACTGTGGTACCCACGTCCTCCAGTAGTCACGAATCCTTCTCAATCGTTCTTTGAAATGTAACGCAACACTTCACCCAAAAGAGGCTTCATTAAAATGCGTTACGTGACACCTCAAAGGACGGCCACGAAGTAGATTGATGTAGCCGCTCTTATAGCAGTTGCTTGTTTTACCTGAGTTCTTTTGACTGTTTTAGCTATTTTCCTTTGTTCTCAATGTTACTATGATAAATTATCTGTTGATTTTACGAACCCCGTTCGAATTGCGCTCTACATAGTGAGAAAGGGAAGCATTTACGGAATCCTTATCCCCTGATCGCATTAAGAGGTCTTTCCCGTAATAGTTCAACCCGCTACCGTTCCGGTTGATTTGACTTAGGTTCTGTTAAATGTATACCACACTCTTGAATTAAAGGATACGTGGTAAAACGATAAGTAAAAGAACTCACTGAACTAAACATATCGTAGTTAACCGTCACGTCTCGTAGATATTTATGGGGAACAAGCATTTTGGCTATATAAAACAAAGAAAAAACAAATACTTTCTATGAAAAAACTTACTCAAAGGTGACCTTCATTTTTCGAACACGTTATGTTAATCACCCTAAGGTTTACTGTCAAGAGTGTCGGTTACAAAATGAAGCAGTTTCAAACAGTTTTACGAAAGCTCGGTGGCGTTTTCCTTTTGTTGTTTACTTAGCCTTTATTTACAACCAATCGATGGCTTGAACGCATTTTATACTGCCCTAGGCTTTTAGATCTGATTGGCTCAGCAATCGTATAGCGTCAATGCTGTCGTATGAAAATTGCGAGTTAAATGACAAAGAAATCATCGCATAAAAAAGGAGACTAAGGAAGTAATCCCACCATAGTCATGAAGGCAGATAGAGCTCCATTCATCCGCTTCCAGGCCTCATCTGTTT